GGGGGGGGCTGTCGGCTAGGGATGGGGAAGAAACAAAGGGAGGGAAAAGAGAAAAAGAAAAGTGTTAGGGTTTCCCCTTTTGTTTTGATTTAAAACAATTTTCGCATTAAGCCCAATCATCCAAGCCCAAAGAAGAAGGAGTCCATTCCCTCAACCCAAGACCCAACATACCAAGCTCGGTTAATATTCATTTAATTGGATTGTTAGAGCCCGATAATTATCGATAAATTAAATTAAGATTCACTTTGAAATTTAAATGAAAAATCTTCCGATTCGAGACTAACTGACCTGATGGACTCGAGGCGTTACACCCTAAGCTCTGTGGAGTTAGGGATCGAGTAAGTTTTGCGGAGCTCGGCCAACCTACCTACCAAGCAAGATGAACAAGGAAGTTCAGCTACTGGACCGAGGTCAGGGTTTACCGAGGTTGAGGCTATATTGGGGTTTCCCGATCTACCCTCGACATAGGGGTTCCCTGAGCTAGAAGCTAAGGTCGGATCCCTTAAGATGTCACCTAAACTAGAGGGGCCGGCCGACCCAGATGACGACTCACTAGAAGAGCTACCCATCGTCAGATCTAAAGAAAGAATCTAGAAAGCTACCTAAAAAAAGAAGGAGAAAGTACCTGACTTGGAAATGGCCGAGGTACACGAAAACTCAAAAGTGAAAAGTAAAAGACTTTCGCCTTTTATAGGACAGCCCGGAGGCACGAGAGCCGTCCGATCGTGAAAGGATCAACGGACAGGATCTGTCCACGCCAGGCAATCCTCGTGACGACGTTTGGGTTCTCGAAGCAGAAGCTAGGGCTGACGACATCCATGACGTCACGCATGAATGAGTGGATTCGACCCATCTTCAGTTAGCTCGGATGACTTCGCCGAGCCGACCACCCCATCGAAGTGGGAGCCAATATTGGATGCAAATCCTGGCCTGCCACGTGTCATTATCCAAAAGGTGAGTTAGATGAACACGCGGACGAAATGTAGAAATTGACTTTGAAATACTCAGGTCGGCAGTAAGAGTAGGACCTACATTTCCGAGCCGACTTGGTACAAAGTCCGTAACAATGTCTCTTCCGTACCCGACAACACACCGCAATTTTAGGGTGTGTCAGAATCCCTGTCGGGCCCAGTTTCTATAAATAGAAACCCTAGCCTTAAATGCAAGGTACGCAATCCTAAGTAGACTCGGCAAGTTAGCTCGGACCAAAACTAACTTGCTCATCGGAGTGCTAACTTTGTTTTGCAGGTCTTTAGAGTGTTCTGCAAAGGCGTTGGACCGTTGGCCATAGTTCATCCTGAGCGTTCCGATCTACATTATGTCCGAGCTCAAACAAGTGACATGCAGACCATTAGAAAAACTTTATCACCTCATGAATATAATTTTATTTTGGACATAAATAATCAAACTTGAATCATGCAAATTAAAACCGAAGCATATTACCAATGTGCTAATACATTACTATATAACTAAAGTTTCTTTTTTTAATATACAAATATTAATTTTAAAATTTTGTTAAGAAAAAAAAACTTAAATTTTATCTTGGGATGTTGACACATTCCTAAGATGCTTGGGCTTTAATTTGCATGATTCAAGTTTGATTCTGTAACGCCCCGAGTCCCTCAGGTTAGTAGTCTCGAATCAGGAGATTTTTCATTTAAATTTCAAACTGAATGTTAATTGAATTTATCTATATTTATCAGGCTCTAAAAACCCAATTAAATTAATATTTACCGAACTTGGTATGTTGGGTCTTGTTTTAAGGGAATGGACTCCTTTTTTGAGCTTGGATGATTGGGCTTTCATTGAGGGAAAATTGTTTTAAAACAAAACAAAAGGGAAACCCTAACACTTTCTTCTTTTTTTTCTCCCTTTTGCTTCTTCCCCATCCCTAGCC